ATTAGGAACTGTGATATAAAAAAATAATTGGGATCGTGACATAAACATGTACCTGTATGGCCATGAGACCGTCCTCCGGAAGATCCGGAACATCCGTAAAAGTGGACAATCCATGAAACTGATCCTAGAGCTCCGCGTTTTTTTTAACATTAGGATCTGTGATATAAGAATGAATTTGGGTCATGGACCCAGATGGCCATCGGACCGTCCAGCGGAAGATCCGGAACATCCGTATAAGTAGTAAATCCACGATCCTGATCCTAGAACTCTGCGTTTTTTTTATAAACATTAGGAACCACGGAGCTCTATGATTAGTTTCGTGAATTTTCCACTTTCACGGATGTTTCGGATCTTGCGGAGGACGGTCCCATGGACATCCAGGTTCATGTTTATGTCACAACCCCAAATTGCTTCTATCATCACAGTTCCTAATGTTTATAAAAAACGCGGAGTTTTAGGACCAGGATCGTGGATTTACTACTTTTACGGATGTTCCGGATCTTTCACTGGACGGTCCGATGGCCATCTGGAACCATGCCCCAAATTCATTCTTATATCACAGATCCTAATGTTAAAAAAACGCGGAGCTCTAGGATCAGGTTCATGGATTGACCACTTTTACGGATGTTCTGGATTTTTTAGGACCGTTCCGTTGTCTCCAGGATCCATATATAGGAACCATTACTGTTTCCTGGCTAATTGCGAACATTTGTGCCCATTAATTTAAATTACAGATCTTGCACCACTTGCAAAACCCTACAAACACAATTTTCAAAAAAACATGTAACAACTCTTTTCGCTTTTTAAAAAAGTAGACGACTCTATTTTCAATCTTTCTGCAATCAAAATCATCCACAAACCATAGGAATTCTAAAGGTACCACAATTTTTGAAATTCATTAAGAAATGGCTAAGCTATGCCATTGCAAACTTGCCGTTACACGTTTTTCGGAGGCATTAAAAGCTTGGTTCCAGCAACAAGAGGGCGTAAAGCAAAACCAACCAAAGAGGACGACTTTGAAAACGATTTGGATTCCAATAATGGTGTATAAAGTTAAGGTATGTTGCAGTGCTTAAAACTTGCTAAGCGGAAAGCTTGAATTCAAATTTTGTCTGAAAAAAAAAACAAATATAAAAAAAAATCTAATATTGATACTATTTTTATTTTAATGACAAAATTCAAAGTTGGAGTCACATCTGTTTGTCTGTGATTAACCTTGTGATCAAAACATACACTAATAGCATTTTGCCTAGTAGCCTTCAAGCACTCTTTGTTACTACATTCCCAGCAGTTGTCAAACTATATTCAGCTTCTGTTCTTCTAGTAGGGTTAATCACCCCATTTTCGGCCTATTGAGCACAACCCGCACTTAGTCTTACTTAATCTAGCGCAGTTTAGCACCAAACGGAATGTTATTATTACTGATGGCTTCCAAATTTATTTACCTTTCTGTACGTACCGTAAGACTTAATAAAGAGGCACCAATCGTTGAGATATTGTCTAAAGTCTAACACTGCTTCTTGACGCCAAACTCGGCCTAACGCATTAAAACGCCATTGAAACGTAAATGAATTCACTTCGGCCTATCGGATGAAGATAAAAATTGATTTGGTCGGAGCGCTTCTTTTGTTTTTGTGAATTATGGGTGCAAACCTTCATATCACGCGTTCTCATTGACTTCGTACGGTAGCTTATTAACTGAAGTATCGTACCAAACTCATAATTGACTTGTTAACTCAATTTTTTTCACAATTCTCTATCCAACTCGAGATCCAACTAATAGCAGAACAGATTAAAAAAAAAAAGCATTTACTTTTAAATAGGATTTAATAATCTCATATAGATATTGCTATCCTATGTTTCTGATGTCCTATCCAATGTTAAAAAAAAACTAAAAAAAAAACATTTTTCAATGTAATCCTGAGAGAAAACTAACTATATCTCTCTGGATGTAGAGATGTAGAGATTTGATGTATTGGGCAAAGTTTCTTAAAATTTGATTTTCTACAACTTTGCTCAAGACATAAATCCATTATCTCGTAACTACAAAAAGTTGGATTTTCTAAGTGTAATACCCCCTTAGTAAAAATTCATTTTCATTTTCATTTTACAGCGTTTGGTGGGGCAATGGGAGCGCAAGTCAATCCAAAGCCGAGGATAAAGGACGGGTAATGGCTGAATAGTCTATGCGGACCACTTGAACGTCATGGAAAAAGGAAGGGATTGAAGAGGCCGGTTATTGGGGGGTTTTGAGGAAATGACACATAGTGATGCTAAATGTAAAGAAACCGAAAATCCTTACACTTATCACACTTATCCCAAATCAAAATGAAGCACATATAAGATTAGTTGCAATACCAGTATCGCACCCAACGTCAGTGCCTATACGTAAGCGTACTACAACGCGGCTTTCAAATAAAGGAGTAACAAGTGTGATACTATCACTTCAGGCTAGAACTTTGGTTCTCTTATGCAATGGTTCATCAGAGAGGGGAAGCTCAGTAATCCTCATCGCATGCTCATGACGCCATGAGCCAACGATGCCGGACCTAAACCAACCGTCTCCAACGCTCCACTATGAAGCATAAGATTAGGCCCGCCCACCAACGTCCAGGTTAAAAAACTAGCCAAGGGGAGGGAAATACCCCCTTAGTAAAAATTCAGGTTCATATTTCAAAAGATGCAAAATTAAATTTGAAGAAACTTCTCTGGAGACACTTCTTCTTCTTATTCGCATTTCAAGCTTATTACTTAGTGTATATTAGCTAATTGCAACTTAGTGTTCTAAATGCACTTCCTCTGTTATTAATTGAGAGCTTTCGATGCCAATTACCAATGCATGAATTTGTATATTGTGTGGCAAGCACAATGATACTCTATTTAATCACGCTTACTACTTACTATCCCACGTCAAAACCAATAGGAATAGAACTGTTTGCGTATGTTTTCTTCAAAACATTCAATACCTTTTGCAGAAACATGCAGAAACATGATTTAGATATAAAAAACTGCTAGATATGGGAGTTTTTTTAATGGTATTTTTTTTTTCTTACATAAAATATTTTTTGAAACTCTACTGGTTCGAAGTAGTGCCAACAATTGCTCAAAACATCAGTATACAAAAAAAAATCAGAATATTACACCGCACTAGATTCTAGTGTTCTATTATATTCATCAAATGTATGTGTTTTGATATTTTGAACAACTTTGTAGAACATTTCAAGCCAGTAGAAGTTTATCGAAAATTAACTTAAATTTTGGATCTAACTTCCAGGAGGATTAATCATTGATCTGTTCATGCCAAAAAATGGAATTTTCATATTCAGAAACTTTCCCGAAGACACCACTAGTCTAAAATCGAAGACATCTCTTTTTGATATGTTGTCTTCGCTAAAATGCAAGATTCACTAGATAATGACTTTTGACCGTCTTTCACAGATCTGGACCACTGTGCGACGTGTGACCATGGAGCAAGTAGAGTAAAAACGACTTCTTCGGTCAGCAGAGGATATCAAGGTCAACCAAAGCTGCTTCGACGTAAATAGTGCGCTATAAAAAATATTTTTCGGAATTACACAATCAATGGGTACTTTAACGATACTTTGAACTTCAAACTTACAAGAAGAGGTTGAAAGGTATATGTTTGACACATAAACCCAGTCAATTTTTTCACTTTCAGAGAGCCATAATTAGCGGTTTTATGATTCGTTGAGCGCTCACTTTGAGTGAACGCTCACAAATCATAAAATCGCTGATTGAGCCTCCTGAAAGCGAAATTGCCAGGTTTTCTATTTCAAACGCATACTTTTGAACCTCTTCTTGTAAGTAACAAGTTCAATATATCATGATAGAATCCAATGATTCCGTATTTCAGAAAACATTTTTTTTATTCTGAAGTGAGTCGAAGCAAATCTAGTGTCAACCATAAACTAGTCACCTACAGAAACAATTCAAGACCAACAATTGAAAAGGCTTCAACTCGATTTTTTAAACAAACCTTGCAAGGCCATTTTGTCGTGAACCGAAGTCCGCCAACGCAAACCGACAAAATGAACTGGTAGGGGAAATTCTCATCTATCCGATTGTGTTTTGGGTTTGCGAATGTAATGTATAAGGTTTGTTTACAAAATGAAGTTGTGACCTTTTCAATTGTTGGCCTTGAATTGGTTGAAGAACCACCCACCACGCTCTTTGAGGGATTCCAAACTTGTTCCCCCACTCGATCTTTTGCCCCACCTTACGTATGTAGGATCAAATCTAGTCGGATGAGATGCTCGTTATCCAATTTAAGCTTGCATTAGACTAAACAAGTTGGCATAATTTGTGTGTGTGTGTCATTGTTAGTTTGCAAAACAAAACAAATTATCTTGACTTTGGACCATCGACTTGCAGACATATTTTACCTTTCAGTACTTGCGCCGTTGTACAAAGTACAACACGAAAAAAAAAGTTTCTGACTTTGGAACACGCTCCATGTAAAACTAAACATGTTTCATGTTTAGACCAATTCTTGAAGAATTTTTTGGAACTCATCAGGATTCAAGAAGTGCCCTCGAGTTTTGTACAACGCACGAGTGCTAGGTTAAAACAATCAAAACGCATCTGTGGTAAACCTTACTACCTGCAAAACTGCGGAACAAGCCCGAGACTTCCGTTTCTAAATAAATATTTACCGCGATTTCCCCTGATAACGGACGGCCACCGATAACACCGAGTGAGCTTACGTTTAATACCCCTCACATGTCACACATTCATTAAGCGTAAAGTTTCCGAAGGTGTCATCCAAACGAGACAGACAAAGAAACTCTTGCCCAGCATTGGTTGCGTTTATTCTATAGCACACAAAAGCCAGTGATCCAGCCAACTGACAATCTCGGGTTGTCTTAAGTTGGATTATCAACTACAAGTCCCGTGTGCATTTGACGTTCAAAACGGCATTGAAGGTCAGATCAAATTGGAGAAATTTAAATCATACAGAAAATCTAGCCGTGTCAACTTACATTGGCCAGTCCATAGGCAAAGACCACCATCCATCCCCAACCACCGTCAGGTGGTCGCAGTTGTGCTGGTTCTGCCATCCTATCTCCGTAGTGCCGTCTTTGGAAAAATTCACAGTATATTGTCAGTCACGTAGACACTTCCCGTGGATGTCACTATCTCCGACTGCTGCAGCAGCTTTCAAATTGTTCCGAATGATTCTGCTAGTATCTCGATTACAATCATGAAGACCGAGAGTAACATATCTTTTGAACCATCACCGTCGAATGTATCATGTGCACCAGACCAAATTTGGCTTATCAGCTGTTCACGAACACGCAACAGTCAGTGCATATCACGATCCGGTCGCACAACGCCGCGGACTTAAGTCTTCAAACTGTAACCCGTTCAACGACCAGACTAGAGCAAATAATGATACTCCAATTGCAGTATCACGCTTGATTACTTTGATTACGGTGTATATTTGACACTTTCCGTTCGTTAATGCAAATCACTATTTCTCGCTTTACCGTGTTGTGTTACAAGCTACTATAATTCACTATGCAGCGAGAGTTGATGCTTTGTTACGAAGGGCTCCTATTAGCCATCTGCCTTTGTTCAAGGTTCGAATAAATTATTGCCGAATTAGTATTTCGTACCGAAATGCGACTAAAACCGGTGGAAGGTCGTTGCTTGTTGAATGCTTCCGTTTGGGTACGGTTTCTGAACGACACTGGACACGAACGCTAGAGACCATGGCGATAAAAAAAATTGCTCAGTTTGCGCTGCTTGGTGCTCTCTCTGAATCACGAGGGCGCTTAACGAATAATGCGCGCGCGAGATAATCGGGCCGGGTGCGATACGTTTATCGTGACTTTGGTTGTTGTATAGCACGCTCTATCGCTTTGGAGATAGAAGCCTAGGTTGAGGTGGGTTTCGGTGGAAGCTTGGCTCCCGGTGGGTGTGTTTATTATCTGCAATGGAAGGAAAGGAATGAGTTAAAAACGCATATTTTCACTAAATGCATGATATTAGAGTATTTTAAAATAGGTCAATCCTGGAATTTCAAAATTAAAAGTTATTTGGTTCACGGGAACCCCTCGCTTCAAAGGTTTTGATGTTTGTATGGAAAAAATCGACTAAATGTATGGGTGAACGAACCACTTTCACATTCGCGACTCTAGGTGGCGCTGTAGTTGGTCGATTTTCGTCGTGTACAAAATGTAGAATCTTTGGAGCATTGGGAACATCTTGGCTGAAGACTGGATTTGAATCCGAGTTAACCCCGAAAAGTTATTAGCATTTCAAATGAACATCATCTGCCTTTCTTTTGGTGAGGGCCTAACGCGCTTTGTGTAGTTTTTCCACCATGAAATAGGCTGTTCGAATGTTCGAAATTATTGTCAACTGAAAATTGAAACAGATTGACCAAGTGGTTTCGGTTTTATTCAGGTGTTTCCTACACTGAACCAATATGACATATTCCTGTTATGTGGAAATCTTATAAATTTGCGCTATAAGATAATCCATTGAAAATTATATGATTGAAAATGTGCCAGGTAAATTCTATATGAATATCTGATACATTTACAATGCTGATGATTTGGTAACTTTTATATGATCGTCGTATGATAAATGAAAATCGATCAAATTATAATAATTAACTGAAATGGATTTGAAACCCATAAGCATAAGCTACACTTTTCACCACAATATAATATAGGTATGTGTCATAAATCAATCGAAGTAAAGTTTGTGTGAAAATCACATGAAATTTACTTCTTCTTTTGACACATATATTTAATCGATTTCTAAAAATAAATCGAAAAATAAACATCAGGCAGTGGGAGCTTTCACAGTTGTGCCTTTTTTATTGTAGCTGATTTGGGATTCGATCAAGGACTGTTGAGGTGTGATGCTTTCGGTTTCTGCGCTCGATTTCACAGGGCCACGGCTGACTTCAAGATTGAGCTCGTTCAAATAGCATGAAGTAAGAACAGCTCTCCCGACATGGAATGCAGTGCAACGTTATGCTCGTTTTGCTAGAGTGAAGACAAATAGCACTGACAAATTTATGTTCCGTTTCGGTGGTGTGGTGTGGTTTGTTCAAATCTTTCTTAATGCACCTGTGTGCAATAAATCAACGACTAAATTATATAAGTTGATGTAACTGGTTCATGAAGTTCGAGTACTAGGGCTGGAATCTGAATTAGCCGTGTAGAAGACTTACAATTAGAATCATAGCAAAGGAAATATTGCAGTAGAATCATTTTTTTTTTCAATCTCAATACATTCTTTTCCGGAAACAAACAAAGATTATTCAATACAGTATAATTGTTGTTAGTAGTATTTAGTTCAACTAATCATTTTAATGAGTGTACGATAACATCGTTGAAAATCGTTTCAATAATTTATAAAGAACAATCATGTAAGATGTATTTTATTTGGAGCGATATTCAGCCCAGAAAAACATGCAAAAACAAACGTTTGCTGTTGGATTTCTTAAAAGGCATATCTATATGACTATTAAATGATTGGGATGCATCTGTTTACAATCTTTAAACCTCAAAAATCAAAGGAAGCTATTCCAATTAGATATACATGTTTTCCTATACTGCAAAGTTAAATGACAGTCCAATAGTTTCTTCATGTCTGTTTACACGCGACATATCAACAAACGTCAAAAATCATTAAAAGCAACTCCAATAAAATATACATCATTATCTTATAAGATATACATTTTAGTGAGCAATATTCATCATGAAAACAGGTATATTTTAATGGATTTTCTCATAGTGCAAACTTATATGATTTTCCATTAGTTTCTAGATGTCTGTTCCCACCCATGACATATCAACAGTTTTTCACCATGAAATATATCAGACAATATTCATATACTTATTACCTATCGCTAACCACGTTCGAAGCAAAGTATTATCAAGTACTAAGTATGTGAAATTACGATAGAAATCATTCCATATCGCAGTCATAGCTTTTAAGTGATAATCCAATGGAATCTATCAATCATCACATAGAATGAATAAATCTGCTGACATTGCTATGTTATAAGATGGATCCAATAAACGGTACATGTCGATTTGTTTCAGTGTAGAGGCCATCGGGTGGGGAAAAGGTACCAGTCGTCTAGAACAAGGTGATACTGGTGATCCACAGCAAAAGGTAGCTGTGGGTAATGCTGATTAGCAAATCCAACCCACAACCTGCTTCGAAATGCTGAGTGTCCACTGGAAGGCCATCCTATTTAGATTTGGCCTAATGTGATTATTCTCTGAAGCTGGAGAAGATGTTCGAAGGAGTTAGGTCTTAATCATTTGCCAGTTCCATTTTACGAAACGACAGGTTCTAGTTTGCAAGACAGATGTTGATGCTATTGATGTTGCTTCTTACAGCTGTTAGGTAGCAGCCTCCTGTCAAGTTTATTCATTAGTTGAAAAATTAACTAGTCAATAAACAAATCAAGCTTTATCGGTAGTTCTTATACGTAATTCTCAACAGTCTTCCAGTTAAAATTTCTTTCCCATAGTTGCCCAAGAGAATCAACACGTCAGTGAATCTAATGTACTCATATTATTTGTTCTTACAAACTCATGCTACAATATACATCTCATCTTTCTTCAAATCGAAATCTAACATTTCAAAACAGAGAAATATCTTGTGGTAGGAAAATGCTGACTAAAAGTAAATTGGTACGCACAAAAAGTAGTACTTTTATTAAAACTTCAAAGTTACAGCATTAGATGGTTACATTTCTCCTGTTCAAACGAAATCTCGAACCTTCCTCTTGATGGAGCCCATCCGCGCCCGCATAGTGGAAACGGACACGGAATCAGCGCATTTCTTCCATTTTGCCCGCATTTGCTGGATGTTCTTGACTGCCCCGCCGCTTCGTCGAAGTCGCTGCTTTGAAATTTGCCTAGTATTTTTCGGTTGGTCTAAATTCCGGGCAATTCGGAGGATTCATTAGCTTGGGGACATAATCGATCTTGTTGGCAGCATACCACCGACGAACCGACCTGGCACTGGATGAACCGACATGCCATCTCGTCGAAGCAATTCCGTTCCCATGGCTTGGCAAACTGCCTCTGGATGAAACCGCGAATCGAGCTCTGAATTACCACTGTGCCGTTCTACTGACGGTGGACATCCATCCTTCCTCTTTTGGTGCTTCTGCTGTGCCTTCCGGATGATCGTGATACGGTCCCGTCTCTGCGATGCACCACCGTGATTTTGCTGTGGCCGTCAACGGCAGTCTCCTACATACGTGTGTTCTTCGGTTTCTCGTTGGCTAAGTCCATAGTGGCCCAGATGTAGAATTTGTTGTTCGTCTCCATCTGTTTTATGAACAGCGCTGACGATATCGAGTGATTGGTGATTGTGAAATTGATTACGTCTCATGAAAATCCTGTACATGGTCTTAACATGACCGTAGGAATACAAAGAGAAAGTCGACGAAGATAATCTGTCAGATTGGTAGTGGTAGTGTCACATTGGTAGTGGTTACTTCGCTGCTCTGGCTGAACATTCCGCGGGGGTAATGGTTGGAAGCGTTGCCGTCGGAGCTGGAATTGGGTGTTAATCGGTTGTTGCCCCACCGGGGAGATGTTTTCTAAATCGGAAACTGTAGCGGTGGATTTTATTAGAGGGGGCACGGTTGGAATATTTCTCACCACGCTATGTTTGATGTGCTGTAATGGAATCTTCACGTTGTAGTTAACTTGCATGGTGCTAACGAGAAGGGGATCGGAGTTAGTTATTACCATTTTCAATCAGGCTGCTGTTACGACTACTGGATCAATCGATGCTGATAGGATCGTTGCATTATAGGTGAAATTCCAGATGTTTAGAAGAATAACTGTTTGGAGAGCTTTTTTGATCAGCGACGAGCCTTTTGAAGTGACAACTGGGACTGGCTGCTAAGGAAAAAGAACAACTGCTGAAGGCTGGCTGGAACTGCAAGTTATTGCTGGTAGTAAGCAGGCATCGGCACAGGTTCTTCCATAATATTCAAGCTATTATAAACAAAACTGACGTCTAATATGAGAAGCATATTCTTATAGAGAGTAAACGGAGTAAGCGGAGGAAAAAAATCGATTAAATATTGAGGTACATTGAGTTACTCGCTGCAAAAAAGCAACTCAGAATAAACCTGTCCCACCCCTTGGGTTTAACGTATTTTAAATATAGCGTCTTGGGCAAGATTTTGAATGTAGTTTCTATGAGCTGGCACGTCGGTTCGTCGGTGAGCATACAACTCCAGAACAACCTTGGAGTTGTGGCAGTTGGCCAAATTGAGTGAAAAGATGACGTTGCGGATGAACGGCAATGCACACTTTTTCAGGCATTCTTCGATGTAAACATGGGATGTCATCGTCGAGGATGTGACGAATGGTTTCATTTTCATGCCACAATTGCAAATCGCTCGCCAATTCATGGCCTTCTTCGCGAACTTGTCGGCAAACACGAATTTGAATATTCTCGGCACATCCCCACATCCAGTCGCGATGTAAAACTTTTGACCGGGAAGCTGCCTAAAATCGAGTTTGACGTATGTTTCGTCATCGATCATGCCCTTGCACGCTTTTTGGCCACGGAATTATGCTTCATATGTCGGTTAGGATGTTTACTGGCTTTGTACGACTTGTATCCTTCCCTGGCAAGGATGTTCCGTACCGTTTGAAAGTTGGCGTTATACTTTCTGGCCACATCTCGGATCGAAAGACCGGGGATGGCTTTAACGCTCCTCAACACCTTGCTGCGCAGCTGACGATCCCTGATTCCAATTTTTTTGTAGGTCCGCTGATTCCTTTCCATACTGAGGGTTTCCTTGTAGGTTTTGAGCACTCGGTACACTGTTGTTTTCGGCATCTTCAGCACTTTAGCCAGCTTGGAACCGGACCACTCCGGATGTTCCAGGTGTTTGTGCACAATATTTTTTTCTTCTTTCGAGTTCCAT